TCATCACCACCCACCACCAACTCTTGGGCTACTCTTTTACCGATGAATAGTGGGATTGACTGTCATATCACAATGCCCCCACGGCTGAAAGGGCGAGCATATTTGGTGGGATGGGGATTTGAACCTGCGACCCTCAGATTGCGAGTCAAGCACCCTATCCACTTGGTCTTCTTAGAAATGAAAAATATAATATTAGTAAAACATCTATACCATGCCACTAACCCATGATACCACAAAAATGCTATATCCAGGCATTTTCTACACTCAGTTTGTGGTGTGAAAGCATGTGCACACTATCCTGTTAAACTATATGTCTTCTGGCATGTTTTGCAAATCTATAATTGCTGGGTCAAGGTATTTGTAGTAAAAAAAAAAAAAAAGCAGAATGGCCTTCTACAGATAGTTTTCTGTAAATGATAAAATGGTCCAACAATTAAACCACTCCAAACCATCACTGTATCTCTTCTCTGGTCCTGGATTCCTGCAACCCAGTGTGGGTTTTCTTGAGAGCAGTATCAGTCAGTTCCTCCTATGCCATGTTCCTTTACAAAAAGCTTCATCTACTGTCAACTTCAACTTGGGTACGTGCATCTTCTAAAGATGGAAGTTATATTGCTTCTCAAACCTACTAGAGCACCCTTCTTCGACTTACACTTACTTCTTGCACAAAATATAAAAAAGAGAGAGACAGTTCATGAAAAAATAAAGAGGACTTAGAAAAATGTTAGTAAGGGCAGGACTTATATCATGGTAGTGCATGATATTTGCATCACCCTTTATAATATAATTTTAAGAATGTCACTGGGCTCTCAACTTTTTTCTCACTACGTGTCAATTTGGTGTGGAAGCGTTTAAAAACTACACTATTAAAACAGCAATTTTTAAAAGTGAATGCCTGACATCAATGTTTCAATAACACCTTTGTGATTTTGTCTTATGCTAAACAAGAACCACATCATCTTAATGAACCTCTGAACACTTTATAGATGAAGAATGTGAAGAGCAGCTTCCTTTTTTTGAATTTTATAATTATAAAAACAGACCATAGCTCTCTTATTCAAGTGTAGAAGAAAAGGAAAACTTTTTAATAATAGACAGAATGTATTTTATATCTAATCAGTCCAGTAACATACTATATATCATCCCAAGAAAACTAAAAGATAACTTCTCCAGATTTGTTACAGACATTGAAAAGATGTTTAAAGACCTCAACTTATTTAAAAATTTGTTTGCTCGTTTTTTTGTAGGTAAACACAAAGTTACACAATGGGCTATTTGTGCTCTGCCCACCACAAGTATTGAAACATGGATTTTAGCTATTTCAAAATATTTAGGAAGTTTTTTAAATTTTTTGAATTTATAATATAGACCTTTAAAATGCCAACTAAAAAGTCATACAAAAAGTCTACGTTTTTCTTTTTTACAAGCATGTAGTCATAAAGTAAAACAAAAAAGTAATACAGAAGATACAGAAGGTTGAGTACTTTATAATAAAACAATTACGGATTCTCACCATATATGGTCATGCTCTTTCTGACAGCCATGCAGTGTAGTTTCCATTCAAATCATGTTAAAAGCACACCATTCTTTCCTGTATATTTTCAATAATACAACTAGTGTATGAGGGTGATGGTTTTCCAGCACACATTTGAGCAGTCCTATTGCATGGAAATCCATAAAAGCTTCATCCTGCGACTTCACTTATATATCTTCATACGGAATAGCATGAATGCTATTTTCATTCTTCAACGTTTTAACGTATGTAACAGTTGAAAGAGACATATGACTGAAAGACTGATATTGGTGAGCCCATGCATGTCCTTGGTTTGTTTCCTTACAAAGCCAGTATTTCTGTGTGGTACAAAGGGTCCAGAACTTTGGTCTGATAGTAAGCAAAGTTCACCTTGACTTTTTTATCTATTCTCCTGATCCCTGTCATGCCACTGGCATGGTATACAGTACTGACAGCAGATCCTTTCAAAAAAGTTTCACAACATGCAGTACCACCTTTGAAAATTTTTTCACCCATTAACTGGAAGGAAAATGACATGAGACTACAGTTATCAATGATGCATATGCTTTGTTCAGTGTCACCACATACTGCTATTTTTTTACACTAAAAACCATTCATACAGTTTTCTACAGTTGGTCCTCCTTTTCTGAATATATCATGGAAACAACTTGTGTTGCTTTTCCAAATGGAGATTCTTCTTAATTATATTGCATATTGTTGCCTGGGACACATGGATGGCTTTTTTCTCTAAACTTTGCATTTATGGATTCTCACCTGTTACATGATGCTGCACTTTGTTTAACACATCTGAGTTATGACTTATTGTGGGTCTCTTTCTGGATGGCCATGCTACCCCAAGTTGATCCATATTCCTTTTTTTTATCAATGCCATTAAATACAAGGGATATTCCCATCTCTGAAATACTTAATCATGCTTATGGTCTGATTGTAAGAATATTTTGCATTGGAAAAGGCTGTGATATATGCTTCCCAAAAGTGATAAGTGTCAGGTGACATCACACTAGCTATAAAATGCAAAACAATTTCAAGTGTAGTTGTGATACATTCTGTTCCACTGTGAAATTAAATCAGCTGTGGTTGTAGCATCACTTGCTGATTTGCACATTTAAAATTATTTTAATATGACATAATAAACTCTCTGTATAATTTTGTTACACAAGAAAACTTCCAATCATTTGCATTCCTCCTATAAAAATTCAGGAAAACAGTAAAATGTCCCAAAGTAACTATCATTTGCTTTATGCATATAAACATACGATTTAAGAATGACTTACACATATGCAGAACCACAAATATATTTCTAGCTTAATCATACCCTATTCTCAATTTATATATTAATAAAAACTCACATACCTCTAATCTAAGCTTATGTGAATGTGGGTTCTTTAAGAGGAATGAAAAGTTCTCCTCCCATACTGGGTTATTGGTTTTTGGTCTAACAGAAGTATATCTTACATATTTAGCTATTTTCAGTTTCAGCTGGGGGTTTGGTTCACCTGTGGCCTGACTGGCATCCTTTAACAGATAAAATGAAAAGAGGATATTAGAACAATATCAAACACCATCTTTGTATTTTTTGTTTTATACTCATATGCCTGAACATTTCACTCAACTAACATTGCAATTTAATATATACAATAATAATTTATGCAAGGTATTTGCATGAAGAAGTTACCATTATTTCATGTGAACAAAAATTACTGTTTTAGCTCTCTGTAAAAATGCTTGAACTATCTCTTGTGCCACACTTTACAACTCATACCTGTGGATTTTAAAGAATACAGATGCTTTCTGAAACTATATATTAGTTTCCATTTTCTCGACTTTTTAGCCTAACTATATACATAGCAATCTTTTGAATGTTTTTAAGAGTACTATAAAACCACAAGTATCTGCTTTCCTTTATAAAACACGTTTTATTTATGACAAATGAATGAAGTCTTTTTAAAGTGTAATTATATTCAAACAATATAATTCCTTTTTAAAAGGGTTTTTTTTTTCAGAAGAACCTCATTCAATATGTTCTGCTAGAAGTAGAAGACAGATATAACTTTTAGAGTTGAGCTTTCCACCTGTAGTAGCAAAGAGAAAAAAAAAAGGAAATGTCAAGTGCAAAATATATTATTAGTTGGATACAAGTGAATTAAACAGGTGGGGGTTATAATAAATAATCTATTTTTCTATTACACAGTGAGTTAATTTTTATTTGCTGAATAGTTATTTGTTGTTTTTATTCTCACTCCTATACTTTTCAGAAAATAAAAACTAAATGCAGTTTATAATACCTCTTTAAAAGACTTTATCAATCCTACTATGATCGTTTTTTTGTCGTTTTCTTTACAGGCTGAAGACTGTCTTTAAGAGATCAAATTTAAATTCAATTATTCTTGGTTCATAACATGAAGTGGGACATGTCTGATAAAAATTCCTCTGGCCAAAATATATTTAGTTTGTGTGCTATAAGTATTAGTATACCAGCTATTTCTGAAGTCTATAGCACAATTTAAGTGAAAAAAATTTTACTTTGCTTTGTGGAGATGACCCACAAATAAGTAGGGGCAATTTTTCTGACTCAGAGTCATCACTTCCATCTTTTTTTCCACAGATGGTTTAGTCCAATGACATTCCTGGCTATTGTACCAAGTTAAGCACAACAATACTTCTTTCTCATCAATATCAAGCATGGTTCCTGTGATTTTTATAAATGAAATATTCTACTAACATTCTCTTCCAGTGGAAGGAAACTTTCTCATGTGTGCAAGATGCATAAAATTTTTTATAGGTAAGTGAAATTAATAAAATGTGAACTTCTTAGATTTCTTTAGTGTAAAGAATTTGCTTCTTTTCAGAGTTAGAAACTGGAGAAGTAGACAACTTAGCTGTCAAATGCTTCTTCAAGTTAATGAAAACATGTGGATCAGAACTCAATCTTTGGGTATTTATTCAGGTATTGTAATTCACTTAGTAAAAGACTCAAAAAGTTTAATCATCCCATCCAGGATGTTCTTGACTCCTTCAGACATTGCTCAGCCTGGAGAGATAACTATTTCATAAGCAACTTTTTTTGAAATTTATATTTGTCAGGGCCAGAAGGTGAAAGTTGATATTGGACTGGAAACTGTAGAGCTGCACATACGCACTGCAAAGCAACTAACCAATATGGACTTTTTGTCATGCTTAGTGGTGTTCCTATGGCACATCCTGCTCTTGCTTGTAGCTCCAAAGTATGATTTTGCTGCTGTATTACCATAGTTAATCAATATTTCTACATTGGAGCTAGCATGTCATGGAATTGGCAATGCTGAGACAGTATGTGACACCCTGATATGTTATTATGCTCAAAAACGTTGTTTATCAGGTGCTTAGGACACAATGAAATTGACTATTTCACCTTCATTTTCACTAACACTTTCTGGCTCTCATATATAAGTAAACTTTCTGCTAATTTCTTGCTTATTAACATGCAAACAATTGCTAGTTTTTGTGCTGAAAAATATTTTAACTTCATTAGGGCATTTCTTAATACTGACTATTGGTTATTCAGTGTGGTAGCACTGAGGACAAAAATTTTCACAGAACATTAATCACCTCAGATTTTTATTTGGTTGATTTATTATGTAAGAAACACTTCCTAATACTACTTTTATTCTAAACCATTCTAACTTAAAAATTTGTATTATGTTTCACAGTCATTTAAATTACTAAAGTCATTAATTGCAGTACTGACTGCAGATGCCTTTTTTATGTGTAAACTGTCATCTGCACAAATAAATTCTGGAAGTTACCAAACCATTACTACAGGCCTCTGCTCAGCCACAGAGATGTTCAAGAAGTTTCCAGCTATATACTATTCACTGATTGAATGCTGGTGCCATCTAATGACTGTACTGAAAACTATTTCCATTGAATTCAATTTCCTTTAGAAGTTAGCAGCAATCAGCACAAAATATGTTTATTGGTGGTAACTGATGAATGTTCACACAATGAGGTGCTAACTATTGATGCTATCTGTCAGGTTTTATAGTAGGTGTAGAAAAAATTGTTACACTATTGGTTATTACAGTTGTATCCAGAACTTTAACTAATTGTCTCCTTTTCATCAAAGTCCACACAGGCAGGTTCAATTACTTTAGAACACCCCTTTGACAAGACAACTTATTCTTCTCTATCTCTGTTGTTACAGTACCAGATGCAATACTTTCACTTTAGAAATCACCCATTATGGCTAAACTGATATGCAGTCTAACTTCGCTTTCACTAACTTACTTACTTGCTCTCTGTATCTGCATGTATTTATAACAAATGACAGAAATATATCTAGCCCTGTAGTAACAACAATATTACACTATCTATTGACTAAAGGCCTAGTCTTAAAAGATAATCTCAAACTAAGAAATCCAACCTAGCTATATAAATTGTATTTACAATATATAAAGTTTTTACATTTAATATTTTTAGCATATCTGTATTGCTAAATGTTTAAAATAACATGGACAACAACAAACCATTTGGTCCTTCAAGATTGTCTTTTCACACCTACCCTTGAGATAAAGTAAAAATTTAAACCCACCCTTTATTGTTCAAGAATGTATTGATTCTCCTCATAAACTATTGCAAATTGGTTGCTTCCACCACTGCTGACAAAAACGTATTCATAAACAAACCACATCATTAAAAAAATAAAACCGTCTTAACTGGAGCCTAGTCTGTCTTTCCCAAATCTTGAACTTGTGTTCTCTCACCCTACTGTCTGAAACATATAGCAAAAAATAAACCAGAGACAATTACCTTTTAGTAACAAGACTGACTGAATTCTGTTAATAATAACCTTTTTCACTCTATCACTCTGCAGTCCAAGTTAGTTTTTTCTCAATCCCTACCAATAATATTTTCTTAGCTAATCTTCTGAAAAGCACCTTATCAAAACTGTTCTTAAATCTAAACTCACACCCTTTCCATTGTCCAGATAACAAGTAATATCCATATTAGTAAGACAAAATTTCCCTTTAGTGAATCAATATTAGCTTTCATTTTTATTATATTTTACTAAATGATTTTGTCTGTTTGTTTTGAATTTCATGCAAAGCTACACGAGGGCCATCTGCACTAGCCATCCTTAATTTAGCAGTGAAAGACTAGAAGGATGGCAACTAGTCATCACCACCCACCTCCAACTCTTGAGCTAGTCTTTACCAATTGATCATCACATTATAATGCTGCCATGGCTGAAAGGGCAAGCATGTTTGGTGGGATGGGGATTTGAACCCGTAACCCTCAGATTGCGAGTCGAGTGCCCTAACCTCCTGGCCATACTGGGCCAAACAATTTTGAAAAGCTTCTTTAATCAAACTCTACAGAATTTTATCCACATTAGATGTTAGATTATACTGCCATACAGTAATACCAAACTTTCATTAGTTTGGAAAATTGCATGCATACACAAAATTTGATCAAATGAACTCAGTTGCACTAATTTGTATCCTCAATAAACAAAATCATTGACACCCCTTTGGTGTGGGAATGACTAAGTTCAAACAAATAAGTAAAATAAAATTGTATAAATTATAAATCAACCAAACTTCCTACGATCTCTGCACTGTAATGAAAAACCATTTGCAATATGTGTACATGTATGCTTTTGAGAGTGTATGTGGGAAAAGACTAAAAGAGTTATTTTTTTAAATTGGTAATAACAAAACAACTGAAAATTCAGTGGAAGTTTAAAATAAAATGTTGAAATAATTGCAATTTCTTAGTATAAAAATGTGTTGTAAAAGGCCTTGTTTTCTTTTAAAATGATCTGAAAACAACTTATCTCACACGAGTCTGTAAGGATGATTCAGAAAACAAGACTGGAAAAAACCTTACATGTTGTAACTGCCTGAGGCATGTTTGATACTAAAAATAGCAGACTATGAAAGGGAAAATCACTTGTTATTTTAAGAAGCTAATTGTTAACATTACAACTGCTGAGTAACTTTTATAACATTAAAGTCAAGACAATATTATTAATCTTAAGTCTTATAGTGTAAGAAAATCTATATATAATAATATTTAATTGGCACATCAACTGTAAGAACCATCGTACCAAGGTCCTTAAAATAAAATAATACACGATAGTTAACTGAGATACTTACAGGCAAGTTTTTTGCTGAATCTATGAATAACATCAACAATGAAGATGAGAAATCAGATTTTCTTTGGTGCATAATCTGAAAATATATGTATATATACATGGATACATGGCTAAAAGTGCATCAAGATAAAAAAGTTTGATACCTGAAAAATATATAATAGAACAATGATTTAAAAAGAAATTGGAAGTCTATACATACATCACTGTTAAAAGGTTTGGAGGCAGACAGTATGAAAATAAACACAATGACAATCATAATTTATGTAATAGGATCATACAAATGAAATCACAATTTATCTAATTATTTAAACATTAGATTCATAAAAGTATCCAAAATGTAGCTTAAAACCTTACAAATTACAAAGAGAATATACTGTAAACTTTTTACAATGGAAGTAGAAATACTACTGTTTTATGCTGTTTTGATACAACAGACCATGGGACGTACATTTACAGAATATGAAAAGAGAATTACTAAAGTTATCTACAAAAACTGTTGAGCCCTCTAGTGTTAGACATATTGACCAAGATTTGATCTGATGCAGACAGTTTTCCACAGTATGATTCATCCACTGCAGTCATTAGACTTACTATCTATTGAACTCATTTAGATGTGTGGAACCTATGACAACACATTATGTAATAGAATTATGGTAACATATTCCTGGTATACTGACTGATAGAATACTATAAATATGTAATGCTCTCATTAGACCAAAATGGCTGTATGTAGTGTTTTAGTCAAATTAGATTAAGATGAATTTCTACATGTTCATTTACATAATCTAGTCGTTATTGCTATTTCATTATAAGTGTGTATATTTTAATGTTTTTTGCAAAAGTGTGTCCTTTTTACAAATGTTTGTACTGTAGTGTACATTAGTTTACACGAATAAAATTCTACTGGGTTGTGAGATATTGATCTCCTGTCATTCCGTTTTACCTGCATTTTGAACATTTAAATTTTTATTTCTCAGGTTGCTGCTGCATGGATCATACATATCAGGTATTATATCAATTCAAAAGTGTTCTAATGAAAAATTTAAGAATATATTTTGAAGAGATGTATGTATATATTTTGGTTAATTTCTATATAAACTATTGATGAAATGTCTGATCACTTTGCTTTAAACTTACTGTCTCAAGATGGTTAATGTTATCAGTAAGGGTCAGCCAAGCAATCTCTAGATGTATCCATCCAGATTTAGCTTCTTCAAGAGGGTACCACTAGAAAAATAAATGTATTTAGTTTTTACTCATTTTAATCTTAAATATAAAACATCATGAATAATTGCTGGAATATGATGACAAAAACATAAAACACCCTACGTCACTGAAAGATCTTTACTGGCTTGTCTTGTATCATGTAAAGAGCATATACAGAGTTTCTTTGCACTAAATCTGTTTAAATAAACTTTTTTATTTTCAGAACATCTACAGGAACATATATATATGCTCTCTGATAAATATAACTATGTCTCAGGTCAGATGAAGGCTAAATGCTTGTCATAAGTGTGCCAAATATAAGAAAACTTAAAAGCACAGGTCATGTGATTACTGAGCCTGTTACATCCCAAACGAGAAAATCCTATATGTTTTTTCTCCAATTCAGTTAAAATATTTAGACTTCAAATACCTACTGACAGAAATAAAAAAATCAAATACACTCATGAGTAATAAAATGTACATTTTAAGTATATCTTGGATAACGTCATAATAACATAAATTGTTATATACAAATATTACCCAGAATGATAGTTCAAAAACAGATCCATACATACACTAACCAAAGTCAAAGGAAAGAAAAAAGAAAATAGAGGAAAGCAGGAAAGCCAAATTCACTTTTAAATATGAATATACTCAAGAGGGAGATAACATCCAGATATATAAAATGTTACATCATATGAAACTGTTTTGGTTGAAACACAAAAGTTATCTACTCACACATAGATTTTAATAATCATTACTTTCATAACAAAGGAAAAATTTATAAATACTTACAGCGTTAATTCTACCAGCCATGGTCACAGATGAAATTTTTATGGAGGTCCTTAAAAAGAAAAACATAATTAAGGCAATGAAAATACTTTTAAGATATTTTACATGTGTAAACTATTATAACAATATCTAATAACATTTTCATTAAATGAGCAAACCATAAAAGTAGTGTAGAAAACAAACACCAGCTTAATACCACAACTGGCTAATTTTCATCAACTCTGGTTTTGTATAATTGCTTTAATGGCTAGAATATATATATATATATATATATATATACATACACTCACACATAGATGAATTTGGGACAGTTTGTACATGTATATTTCTAAAAATATCAAAAACCAAAAGCTTTGTATATTACTTGTGCACAGAAAATGACATGCTCTCAATTTCCCATGAACAAAAAGTAATAGCTTAGGAACACAGGTAACAAATATACTACTTTCAAGTAAGAAAAAGGAACAGTAGAAAAAATGCCTGTTTTTCAGACTAGCATAGCTAATGCTGAGATTCCATAAGTGACTGAGATGTACAGTGGCTCAATGGTAAGCCTGAAGGCCTATAATGCTAAAAACTGGGTTTCAATGATGAGCTAATGCTGAGATTCCATAAGTGACTGATTTGGGTCTCAAGTGACCACTACATCATAATGTTCTTCAAACAAAGTTTGAGAATAGAATTGAATAACACCAAATTGTTTAGACAGTAGCTAATGCAACAGAGATAGAAAACTAATCTCGATAAGAAACAATGCAGAAGAGAAAACTTTGCTCTTACATCTTAATATACATAATTAAGTATTATGCTTTGGCAGTGTCATTTTTCAAAATTAAATATATTTTTCTAACTTAAAAAACAACTGTTTACAGCTAACCTTAATTACTTAAGAATGTACACACCCAAAAATGTTGAAGAACTGTGGTTCAAAAGTGCCAATGGCTAAATTCCATCTCATATTGAAATGAAAACAGAAAAGTATAAAATGCCTAATCAATAACATTAACTCTTTTTTTTACACCCTCCCAGTGGTTCAATGGTAAGTCTGAAGGCTTATAATGCTAAAAGCTGGGTTTCAATACCCATGATGGTCACAGCATAGATAGCCCATTGTGAAGCTTTGGGTTTCACAACAGACAAACAAAATCGTTTTTTTGCTACCATAGCTTACATTGCTTTTCTTAGTTTCCTTTTACCTATAATAATTTCACTAACATAAATACTTGATACCAAATAAATCTAATAAGTAAAGATGTCAAAAAAGTTGAAATAACACAGATTCACATTACATTTTGCTTGAATGCTTAACCATTGGTTTGCAATGACATGACTTCTCAGTTAACTAGTTACTGTAATATTTTATTAACACATAGAATAAGAAAACTTACAATATGTATTAACTCAAGGATCAACAGAGAATACAGTAGCTGAGTATTGGCCCCATTCCTACGGGCAGTTATAAAAAAACTATACATTTTTAATCAAGAATGCTTTCCAGCAGTTGTGGTTGTGACATCCAAGTATAATATGTAATCATTTCATAAATTAGAATCCATATACGTTTTTAAGAGTTATGGTTTAAATGCCAGAAGCTCACAAAGCATTAGAAACCAATATGCCTAAAATTACATCAACTGTATATGTTTTTTGTTTTCCACACTTCTCTTTGTTTGTCAATTTCAGATCCAAAATCAGAGGCATGTAAAAATAGCATTTAAAATCAATCTTTTGTTTCTCACCAGTCATTGCCCAAGAGGTCTTTCATTCAATACCAGAACTGGGCCAGTGGACAATGAGAGACAAAATATTCTCTGAAATGCTATTTATATATACATTATAATGCTTAGTTCTTCTAATACTTTAAAAGTTATGGTTTAAATTCTGAAAGCTGCAAAGAATTAAAAACCAAGTAATGTACTGCATGAATAAATGGCTTTATTCAGGTAAATTTGTTTGAAATTTTAGTACAGATTTATGTACTCAGATTTTTTACGTGAATAGGGTGTGTCCTACCTTCAACTATTTAATCTTACCCTTAGAGCAGTATTTCTCAGTGAGATTTGCTATACAACCCCCCCGTTCTGGCTTTGGTTGTTGTGACCCCCCATTATCTTTACAAGGATAAAAGGATGTTTCTTGGAACAATTCGTCATATTTCATAACAAAGGTTATATGTGCACCTCTCAGACACCTTGAGGACAGCTCATGACTCCCCTGAAAACCTGCCTTAGAGTATGACTTCCTATATATATAAGTAGAAAAATATGAAGGTGATAAAATAAAATATATTAGACTTTTAGAAAAAAAATCACATATAAAAACTATGGTAATAAATTATTAACTTGGCGACATTTCAAGCAAACACTCTTTTTCAAGCCAGAAACAAGCCTGTGTTTAATGACAATTACAGGAACATTTTGAAATGAATTTTTTCCTTACACTTGAAGCCATCAGCCTGTCTGACTGGCTGGCACCTGGCCCACTTGCTAGACAATTTGCTAAACACAGTCTCAGTGGGATACCTAGCAAGATGTTCATGTGTAAAGACAGAGAAGTTGAAGACTCTGGTTCACTGTTCTTTGTTAATGGGAAATGTCTAGTGATGTGGCATTCTAAGTAGTTTTAATGGAACTTAGGACTGAAAATAATCCTAAGTAAATTTAGTTTTTGGTGGTTGTCTTTAAACAGGTACATTTACCTTGGTGATTGCCTTATGTTTGCTATATGCTTTAAGTCTTGTTACTATTGTACAGAAAAGCTAATCACAAGTTGAGAAAAGGTGGTATTAAGATAAAGTGTTTTTGCTTTAAACAAATCTTCTGGTCTTTATTTTTTTTTGCATGATTGAGTTTGACATATTCACACCATGCATACATTCTTAGAATCTTCTGTTACTGCAGTCTTAATTAACTTGTTTTTCCAATAAGGTACTCTCCCCCCACTCACAAGATTAGCTTTTCTCATTTTGTGCTGTTCTCTATATGCAAACTTTTTCAGAAACACATGATCCCTCTGTTGGAAGTTTTTCATGCAAATCATCATGTTTCACCTCTCCACCAATTGAAGAGCAGTACTATGTGCTTCTACCAAACTATCACTCTTGTTTGGCAGCTGTCAAGTTCAGATGTTCTTTTTTACATTGTTCAGTTACCTTGAAGTGGACTGGTTGGTCAAATTGGAGAAGTTTTTCCTTTGTCCTACCCAATACCTTATCCATTTGGGTGTTTTCTTCAATGCCCGTCTCAGTCAGACCCAACCTTCTCTTTGGCTCCATTCTATGGAATGGACCATTGGAAATGGCCTGTCACACTCATCAGTTCCTGGCCAAAGCTGGGATGGTGGGCTGGTTGGTCAAATTGGAGAAGTTTTTCCTTTGTCCGACCCAATACTTTATCCATTTGGGTGTTTTCTTCAATACCCATCTCAGTTGGGCCCAACCTTCTCCTCTTTGGCTCCATTCTATGGAACAGGTCATTTGGAAAGCCCTGTATATTCCCTCACTTACTGATCGCGAGGTTCTATTGGTTTTGGGGATGTGGTCCTCCATGACCCCTCTCACACCCCTGGACAGGGCCCATATGCAGTTTCTTCAATGGGTCCTTCATGATCAAAGGAACCTCACCCGGGATCTCTTGGATACTTCTATATCCTTTCTCTCATCCTTTGTATATGATCTCTATTGGTGGTTTAACAGAGCCTACACGTTGGCAGGGGTTCCACTTCCTCCTCTGCAGGCAGATTTACATCTGTTCACTTCATATCAATGTTCTCAAACTCCTGGCTGTTTGTCAAGCTTTGGATCAATTTCTTTCTCTTGCCAGCCAGTGGCTTGTTATGATTCATACCATGGTGGCTGATATCAATCACCAAGGTGACACCAGGTCCAGATCCCTATGTTTTTGTCCTATGGATCTTCTTTATTGGATTCACACACATCACATTTGTTTGATGGCATGTCATTTACCCGGTGCTTTCAATCTCATAGCCAATCATCTTTCCCAACCAGATCAAGTTTATTCTATGGAGTGGTCCCTGCATCCTGCCATTTTTCGGTGGCTTTGTCTGCATCTGGGTATACCCCATATTAATGCATTTTCCACTGCCCTAAATCACAAATTACCTCAATTTTGGTCCCCAGTCCCCTATTTTAGAGCCTTGGATGTCAATGCCTTCAACCAGGATTGGTCTCATCTGTTCCTTTATATTTAGCCTCCCATCCATTTACTTCATCGGGTGGTCTCCCTCATCCATGCCATTCCATGCATGGTCCTTCTGATTGCTCCTTATTGGCCTATTCAACCTATGGTTTGCTTGGTTACTCCAACTGCAGATGTTCTCTCCCCTTCCTCTTCCCTTCTGCCCTGACCTGCTCCATCAAACCCAGTCACCGGTGGTCCATCCTGTGCCGTCCATCCTTCGTCTTCACACCCAACTTTTGTCAGGTCCTTGGCAAGGAGTTCCTGTTTCTCTTGCAGAGTGGCTTCACATTTAGCACATTTCATTTGCCTTTCTTCTTTGGCTGTCTATCAATGCAAATGGAGCATTTATTGCTCCTAGGCATTGACTCAGGGTTTCTGGGCTTCTCACACAATGGTATCCTGTATCTCTAAGTTTCTCAAGTGGCTCTTTGAGAGGGGTTCTTCTGTCTCCTCGATTTCGAGGTTTTGGGCGGCGTTATTCCATACATTCAGTTTTTCCCGTTTATACAGGGTCTTTGCTTCCCCTGTCCTTACTATGTTTATCTGCTCCTTCTGGCTCTGTAGGCTACCAAGGTGTCTGTTGCTTCTGGACTGAGACATTAACATGGTCCTTTATGCCCTCACTTTACCTTCGTTCGAATCTCTGTTTATGTGTTCCCTGTTTCACCTTTTTTTGAAGGCATATTTCCTCCTCCTCCTAGCCTGCAGGCATCATAAGTCAGATATTTTCACTCTCAATGTTACCAGGACCTTGTACCACTCCTCCTACCTTATCCTTTATCCAGATCGTGCTTTCCTTCCCAAGACCTCTGAGGCTCGAGAAGGTCAGTCCTCCTTTTCCTATATCTGCCTATTCTCTATATCTCATCTCTACCCTCGTCCTAATCTGGATAGACTCCTCTGTCCTGTCCATGCTCTCTGTTGTTATATTGCTCGCATGACTTCCTTCCCAGGATCCTTTTTCCAACCTCTTTATTCCTTGGCAATCTTCCTCTTCCCGTGATCTTTCTCCAGTTACCCTAACCAATTGGGTTCGATGTTTAATCCAGTTGGCCTACTCCTCCTTGTCTCTCCTTCCCAGCATGATCTTTTTCATGTCTTCTCACATCAAATCTATCACATTACTTTCTCCCTTGCCTCTCATCTTTGTCAGCCATTGGAATAGATTCTAAAATAAGGCATATGGATGACTCCACACAGCGTTCATCGCTCACTACCTGCATCACATCACTGTTTCTGCTTCCTCAGTGTATCACCTGCAACCTGTGGCTATCCTACAGACTTCGATGTAGTTGTGACATGAGGTAAGTCCTCACTAATGCTTTCTTTTCTTTCAGGGGCCCATGCTTCAGCTTCACTTTGGATCCCGCTCTATGGCGAGTGGTGCCTGACCAGGTATTCTGTCTGTACTTGGAATGGGTTCTACTTAGATGGCTATAACCATTCGCAGACATCTTGTTATCAGATCCGCATTGTAAGCCATGTTGATTCTTACATATTTTCCACGATCACTAGTGTAAATTCCTCGTGATAATTGCGTCATAATATGCCTGTCCCAGACCATACCACCCATGGATGGCATGGGTAAAGCAGAAGGTGATTGCTGCCCATCTCTGCCATGCCTAGATTGAACAAATCGGTGTGGTCTGCTTTTCAAAATAGGGTTTCATGATCACCCATTGCACTATCTCGAGTGTTGCAGTCCCTCCGGACTCTCCACCACACTTATCCCCCTTTCTTTCAGTGGAGTACGGGAGTCCTTTCCACTTACCAGTTCAAAGCCCGCTGGATGGGTTCCACAAAGATGGTTATAACCATTCAGTTCAGAGTAGGGTGGTGGTGTTCTGCTGGTGTAGAGGGAGTTACAAGATCCTCCAGATGAGTTACTATATTCCGGAGTCAAAATGCAGTTCACCACTCTGATTGGGTGTCCTCCTCCTACCCTTAGGTGGATGTTGGTACCCAGTGAGTGAGGTTTTGGAGATTGAGTGAACCAATCACACAAGTCCTCACACAGGTTTTGGGTTGTTCATCTTCCACTCTCGACTTGTCTTCTGTGTTGTGGGTCACAGAAGGTCTACATGGCCTGTTTCCGCTTCTGTCCTGGGTTTTCCCTCATTAGGTGACAAGGTTGTTACCAACCCGGGGTTGGGCTGATTTCACGATCGTGGGGGTTGAGTGCATGCGATGGACTTCCCTCAGATTCTGGATGACACATTCCCAGATCCATGGCATTAGGCTACCCTGTGAGTTCCTGGAATCAAATGTTAGGTTCCCTCTTGACTGGGACTTGAGATGAAGAAAGTATGATCCTCATTCTACCCTAACTAAGATGAGTAGTTCAAATGTTCCTGTAACCCATTAAAAATAAAAAGAACATGAAACAAAGATAAGTCATCACAGCACAGAATACTTTTGCCAATACCTTTTGCTCTACTTGTATGCAGCAGTCAAAATCTCACTTGATAGGTAATTTTGCTTGCAGTGTTAATAATTATAAATTAAAATAGTTTTCTGGCCTGTATGCAGAATGTTTGAAGCACAATTAGCATGCAAAGTATGCTAATGCTACAGGAGGTCTGGGGCATACTCCCCAGAAAATTTGTAAAGAAATAGGTGCTATGAGGTTAAGTCTGAAAGCAATTTTGCATGAAAGATAACTTAAACAATTACATGACTATTCACATAAAATCCACAAACATCTAATGAAAATTCAACAAACTATCATTCTTTTGTAATACTGCATGGGAATCTAGACTTAAATTACCATAAATATGTATCTTTTATTATAGTAAAGTACTGTACTATCTACAAGCAGAGTAGTTGTTAATTGTTAAATTATATTACTAACTTAATTAAACAACTCTGTATAAAAATAGTATATTAGCTATTTCAATCATTGGCTATCAAAAACATACATGTATGCACTACTGAAGTAACATGTTAGCATGTTCCATTCTTCTGGTGTGCTTTTCCATAAATAACTTGCATGCAGTTTCAATGTTGACTGACAGCAGTGTCATAATGATTATGTATTAAAGCGAAACACTCAATCTTTCTTGTTTATGTACACCTGAGGTAATTATTCAACTGGTTGAGAGCAGATGCTGAACATACACATGAACATGAAATTAGTGGCAATACTTTTATTACATCACAAAAATAAAGGGTTCTATGCCCCCCCCCTCCCATGTAAGTGCGTGGCTTTCTTGAACTTAATAGTCATCTACATTTTTCTGCCAAATATTCTGTTCTAACTGTTGCTTTAGGAAATATGAGACCTGTAATTGATCTGCCCAAGGAAAGACACCAGCTTATTCCTGAAATATACCTTCTATTCCAATCATTGAAAGGATAAATAACAGAAGTTGCTTGGATGGATGCAGTTTACTCTTATGATCTACTATTGGCTAGATCCTGAAATTTGAATACTTCAGTCTATAAATTTTTGGAGGAGTTGATAATTCACACTGCCATCATCTTTCATTTCTAAATTTACACTTGTTTAGTAATTCTTGAGCAACAGCTGTGAGTTCTTTTCCTTGTCTTGAAATAGCATGGAGCATTTCTGTACTTGCTTTTAGTCAATCTTTCATTAAAAGAGAGGTTTAAGAATACCAAAATTAAGGCAATTCTCTAATTATTAATGGTAAAATACTGGCTTAAATTCATATAGCATTCAACCATTTCAAACATTAAATAATCTAACCTTCCAAGAAAGTCATCTCTGGAGGTTTTATCTTCATCCATAACTTCAACATCTAATGTCAGTCCTTCAACTTGGTTGACTATTGCCTGTACAAGGTAAAAAATATTATAAATAAAAAATTGTGACTTGTCATTTTATATTAAGGTAATTATTTTGGAATAGTATTTCATTTGCTTATATTTTGCATTGATTAAACAAGACATAATAACTTATTAATGTGTGCTTTGAAAAGCATGTTTGTCTGCTAGTGGTACAAAATCCAAAAGAAAGCCTGAAACATAAAAAACCTTAAACAAATATCATTTCTTCATTTTTTACTGTAATCCATTCATAAACAGCTAAAAAGGTATTTATAATGGAATGAAATAACTGTTACTTTCCATGTAATCAATATATCAAAAACTAAAGCACTTTAGTTCTTGTTTTAATTCACTCAGCTTCTAAAATGTCTGTTTATTTCACTAGTAGTGTACTGAGAGAGGATTAAATATACACATATTTCTAAATAGCCAAACAGATGTATCTATAAAATTACAAACGTTAAACTGGAACTAATCTCTACATATTGCTCAGCATAACTATATAAATTCACATTTCTACTGATCATTTACTTTTTTTCTGAGTTTAAACATGACCTTTACTCTGCATACCAAGAATTAGATACTAAAATGTTTCAGATCCTTTCCTTAATAGCTGACCTATTTCAATAAAAGACCATGGCATTGAAGTTAGAATTAAACAAGAAGATAGTTTGAATTTAGCAGGAAGAAAAAAGAAAGTAGTTCTGAAAGCAATTATGCACATCAGAGAGCCAGTCAAGGTCATGACTCTATTGTGGAACTTTAGTAAACTGTAAATCATCAGAGAAAACATCCGATTATACTTATGGTTCAAAGCACTAATTTATGTTATCTTGGAGGAATAATATCTTTTATAAAGCAAAAAGATGCATTATTTAAGTTCAAGTGGTGGCATTAGAAATTGCACTGATTGCAGACATTCTAAGTAAGAAAAAATTAGCAAAGCATTCTGCATGACTTAAGTAGCATAAAACAGAACAAGAACAAAAATATTATTCTCTTACCAAAGAAAAGTAGGATTGACTGTCACATTATAATGTCTGCACAACTGAAAGGGTGAGCATGTTCAGGAATGGAATTTAAACCCACAATCTGCAAACTGTGAGTCAAGTGCCCTAACCACTAGACCATGCCAGGACAAAACAAAGAAGCATTATATTCTTTATGAAACTGGACCATAATCAATACTTGAATTCTCAATAAGAATAATACAGGAAATGTCAGTTAATATGTAAACAAAGATGAAATGAAGCAAACATTACGAAACCTAAATGGATAATCCTGAAAAACAGTCTAAAGTTATGATGCAGTGGAATAACAGCAAAAAGACATCCGAGTAGAAGATCCAATAAATTCAGATGAAAAATGGAAAAGGTTACCATTTCTCAAACTATGATATGAAAGATCACAATGAGGTTACCAAAAGAACGCAATAACTCATAATACAGTTGGCTATATCAAAAAGATAAATGCCAAAGAAAAAGCTTTACACACTAAAACGTGTTTGGGATAATGAAAAAGTGTTGATATAAAAGTGTATATGTTGTATAAAGATGACAAAAAATCAAAAGCAGTCAAGTTGTGAATTGCCAAAATCTCTTTCACTTGGTATCTGAAAACTGAGTGAAAATGAAGTGTATTTGTATACCTGTACACCAGTTAACAGAAGTGTAGAACAGAAACATGTACATTTATTAACAAAGAAAAAAGGGTAATGAAGAAGTAACAGCATGATCCAAACAACAGTTATTTCTTGATAGTAAAAAAAAACACATAAACAATATTCATGTACAGTAGGGAAGAAATAGCTCCTCTAATTAAAACAACAATAAAAATAACAGAAATCATACTGCAAAATGTTCTTAATATATTCACAAATTTTTTCCATGGGACATTTAAAAAAATACATTAATGCTGTGACACCCAAGACAGAAGTTATAACATCAAATGTGGTAAAACTATTAATGGCTGGAGATGGCTTGAATGGGTAATGAAGAAAAATTTTAATATAAGTTTAACATAACAGCAAATGTACAACGTTTCGGCAAGGTTTTGTCATCATCAGGTACAAAGATGATGTACAAAACCTTGTCGAAACG